AGAGCAATTGTTTTGTGTCTCTTTGTCTAGAAATCATGACGCACGTGGTGCTCTCCTGCACGGTCTACTGCGTCGTTAATAAAGTTTCTGTCTTATAGGTTATATCGCCTTTCTTCCGTCACTCTGCGTCGCAGTCTATATCGTTGCATTGCTAAAGTAATGTAATTATGTTTGTTTAAGTGGATTTTTCTCGACGCAACGAAAAACAGCCCGTCGATAAAATCTGGTTAATCTATTATTTTCGTGTCAACAAATTTGCTAAAGTCTCTAAAAATTTAGATAGATACAAATCTGAAGATAATTTTATTGGGATCTTCAAATATTAATTATGTAGAATGCTCTTTTCGCAGCATTGCTCATCTTGCTTGAAATTCTAATGTAATTATTTCGATGATCGAAAATTATTTTCAGATCTGTGTGTAGCTAAATTTTTAGATTTTATACTTTAACAAAGTCGTTCTTTCCATGCAAAATTATTACGTAGGACACTTGCGGATAATCGAGCGATATAAATTTGGACATCCCAGCAATTAGCTTGAATGTCCCTACGCAGTCATTTTGGTATACAAAATTTATTTATAGATCTGTATACATATCTACCTAAATTTTTAGATACTTTAGCAAAACCGTTCTTTTCATGCACGTAACATTATCCATATTATTTTCTTCTCTAGAATTACGGGGCGAACGGAATGAAAAGTTAACGAGTGATCTCTCATATGTAACAGACAGTTATTAGAATTATTTCGTAATTCGTAATGAATAATATTGTATAATAACGATGTATAATAACTTGTGTAATAATTATGCAAGTTTACGATTCTCTGCGTATCACGTTTTCGCCGGACAGGCCGGAAACGGCGGCGCCAATCAGGAATCGGGAACAAGATCACCGTTAAGGTGTCTCGCTTGAAAAATATTGGGTTCGATCGAGAAAACAAAAAGGAACGTCAGGCGATGCTAGTTTACGCCAGTTTACACGCATTTCCATCGAATTAGCCTCGCACACAGCCTGTGCGTTCTTTTTGCGACATGCACGTTCTAATTACCCCGCGAACCAAGCGCTAAGCATCGCTCGACTAGGCATAGTATAATTGGTTCGTAGAACGTAAACATCCAGGAATCTGTTTACTCGATAGATCGCGCCTCTGTTATCGGAAGAAAATTGCATTCTGAGGAGTACCCGCTGTCGTCTCATGCCGGCTGCGCGTTCCCGCCCTTCCGGTGAGCTTCCTAAACGTTCTTTGCCGCGTTGCAGCTGAACGAAAATTGCACATACGAGTACACCGGCTCTCACAACTAAAAAAATCTTCAATTTTAACGTTTGTTTAACGCGCGTTAACAAAAGATGCCGCTTCTTAAATCGCAAGCAGAAAAAAAGTACCAAACGTACACAATTCACTAACAAATACACTGGAAAAAAAAAAATCTCTAATTTCAAAGAAATATCTCTTTGCTCGTATTCAAAAAAATTATTTCTTTGAATCGATGAAAATTTCTTTGAAAATAAGATATTGCACTTTCGAAGAAGTAAATTTTTTTTAACGCGAGCAAAGAGATATTTCTTTTAAAATTAAGACTTTTTTTTCCAACATATAAATACAGATTATTGCACTTGAGAGATAATCATAGACCGACATTTGAGAAGAGCTACGAAAAGATCGAGGACGAAACGTGTCGAATCCAAATCGGGAAGGAATTAAAATCGCTTGACGAAGAGGAGGTATTTGCACGTAATATCGTCCCTGGGATTTCGCGGATTATCCCGCCGTCCGCGTTTGGATATGTCAGGAAATATCAAAAAGTAGTGGTCGAAATTTATTGGCAGAATTTTCGAACGGAACGACGTCGCGCGCGGCAGAGCCGAGAGATCCGGCGTGGAACGAAAGAATTTCGATTTGCGCCTCGGCTGTACGCGCATTCGAATCTCGGCGTTTTCAGCTTTCGAACGTCCGCGGATCGTCCGTGCACGTCGGTAACGTCGGAGACAACGAGGTTCCGGTCTCACCGACTTGTCGGAGCGACAGGTTTCCGCGACGGAACACGTGACGACCGGCATCGCTCGATAAAACTGACAGACGCGCGCGGGGCGCGTTATACGCGTTATAGCTTCGTATCCTTCGACGCGCCGTTCAAGCCGCACAATTTTTACTCGATCGCAGATCAACTATCTATCGATTTTGATATGCGTTTCTCTTCTAGAATAATATCGTATGTCGGACATTAATAATATCAAATCACGAATAAAGCCACAATTTTTAAATCGGAAAAATTTCACGCGCACATTTTTTTTTCTTTTTCGTATGTGTCATAACTTGACACGTAGAACGTTTTCAACATTAGCGCCTGTTTCTACGTTTCTACGAATATAGATTAACTTTAACCTTGGTTTCATTTACTCTTTGTCTTTTTCTCATTCTTAAAACTAGAAAAAGATGGAGAGTCAGTTGAGCCAAGATTAAAATTAATCACGCTACAGATATGACAATTTAGGAAAAATTCAATGAACAAACATTCTTCGCATGTGCCATAACTTGACACATAGTACACTTTTCAGTTCAATCTACTCTTCGTCTCTTTTTAATTGTTAGACTTAAAAAAAGGTGAAAAGTTAGTTAAAATTAAGAGAGATCAAAATTAAACTATTGTACATCGAAGATAGTAGAACTAGATTGGCATAAATCTGTTTTTATTTTATTAGATAAACTCTTTGAATTGATGCACAAATATAATTTGTTCCACTTCAACTTATTGCACTGTGTGTACCAATTCAGAGAGATCTTCGATAAAGAACAGGCCTACTATTAGTAGCTCCTGAACAATTTTTAAGAAAGAATAACGCAACACAGCTGCTAGCTTCGACTATTATTCCATCCATCAAACGTATATATCAGCAATTTATTTCTCGCGTCGAATTTTCTTCAATCTCGGCTGTACTTTGAGTAATCGTATGCCCGTCTAAAGCGAATGACAAATAAAATGAGAAATATTTGATGTTTCCATTCCTCAAAGCGCAAATCATTACGGATTCGCATTGATTTTAAGGGAGAACGCGCCCCGCCACCGGAGCAACGTGTGTTTTTCAACTCACCAGTACAAAAGAACCTTGGTAAACGTTATCCGACACAATGGCGCGATTGGAATCGATCTGGATCAAATTCGCTCGCGTGAAACAACTCGCGGATTAATAATTACAACGGTGCTTTTCTATCGAGGCAAAATTATGATTCGATATTACGCAGACAGTACATGCAGAAATTTTAGCTGTCGTGTTTATATATATAATCATTGAGAAATTATAGCGCGAAATACGCGAAAAAGACGTAGCAGCGGCTATTCCGCGGAAAGAAGAAATATTTTTTTACGCTTCTCTTTTATGGTAATTACTTGCGGCTCACTTCTGTGAGAGTCACTCGTTGAATCACTGTTTCACACGACGATTTATCACGATTAATTTACACGAGAGTGCACTGCGATTATTTAAAAACAAAACTGATAAAATAAGGTACAGAAATTTTGTCGCGATATCGATAACGTTGAATACAAGTATACAAAATATAACATTTTTATAACACAGTATGTATAAATAAGCAGGACAGCAGTTTTCGGTTATTGCGACAGTTTATTTGTTATTGCTCTAATTCAACTCTGCCTATTGTGTGCCGATCTTTTTCACGAGTCATTCTCACAATTTCTCCGAATTTATTTATATTTTTTAGTCGTCTCATAAATCCTTATGCATCTCTTCATCCCTTTTTGATTCGCTTTCTTCTCTTTCACTAAAAATTTCAAGCTTCCTTACTTATTCACGCAACTCTGACAAGCAACTGCAAGAAACTGGACTCACAATACAGACAATAATTTGAACGAATATAGAAAGTTCCACTAACAATTTAAATTTCATAATTGAATGAAAACTACTCATTGTGCCATTGAATTGCTTTGATAACGTTTGAAATTGAAGCAAGAGAATTAAAAAAAAAAGAAAAATGCTTCTCTACAGTTATCTTGGATCATTGAAAAAGGTCGAAGGAATATATCCAGGAAAATGATCATTGTGGCCACTTCAACCGGTTAATTTCCCAGAAACGCATCGGACGACATCGTCCCCACATCGGCAATGAGAAAACTCGAGTGACACCGAGAGACAGAAACGGCGTGCGAAATAACTTGCCTGTGGCGGTCGTAACGGGGTCAATTCGCCGCTCGGGAGAGAAAGAAAGAGAGCGAGAGAGCGAGAGAGAGAGCGCGAGAAAGAGAGAGAGAGAGAAAGAAGTGGTCGCAGGGTAGATGATCGTAGACAAAACAGCGATAACAAAAATGATGACGGAGATGTCTGAAGAAAGCACAATTGCAGAGTGCCGACTCCGAATCTCTCCGTATCTCTGACAAAGATGCGTCTATTTAAAGTGATCGTCATCCGCGCGTCTCGATGCACTCGCAACGAGGATACGCTCGCGCTCGCGAGCGTACTATCTTTTCGGCCATTTTGGTGTCTAAGAGAACCGACGGTAGTCGGCGGTCTCGCGCGGGGGACCCTCGATCGGCTCCTCTTTATAACTCTTCTCTATCTCTTTCTCTCTTTCTCTCTCTCTCTCTCTCTCTCTCTCTCTCTCTCTCTCGTTTCCTCTCCTCGCGCACCTAGAGACACACACTATGACACGTGCACATTCTCCTTTGACGCACACGCGCGAGCGCGGACGAGAAGGCGCACTCGCGCGCGCGCGCGCGTACCAGAGGACACTCCTTCTCACTCGCACACAATCTACATACATACACATGCACCGCTCTTTCGTTCTTCCATGCACCGGTACTCCGACACTACTCCGTTTCGTGTATCTCTAATTGCCGCGCGCTCGTAGGAAATGGTCAAATTTCGAAGCGCCGTTAACAAACGCGTTCTCTCTCTCTCTCTCTCTCTCTCTCTCTCTCTCTCCTTTTTCTCTCCTCTCCCTTTCTTTCCTCCTCCGCGATTCGCGAATGAAACGACGACTACTCACTCTCGCGACGGGAAGAATCGTCTTCTTCTTCTACTTCTTCCTCCCCTTGCTTTTCCTCACGCGTGTACCGCTTCCTCGGAGCTTCTCACGTCGGCCAGCCGGTCTCCAATGCGATCGGCAAGCTTCACCGACGACATCCTTCTTCCGTCCCGCGAAGAATTGTACTAGTTCCGAAAGTCTCCTTACTCCGACTCCGTCGCGATTCCTCTCCTTCGGATGTGTACACTCGCGAAAACGAAGCACCGCGATCGCGGAACAGGAGCCACGTCGCGTACGGGCTGACGACACGCGGGCGCGCGGGCGTCGCGACGATCGACGGACGGATGCACCGCGCGATGCACCCCCGCGTCCACCCCCCTCCTCACAAAACTTCTCTCTCTCTCGCTCTCTCTCTCTCTCTCTCTCTCTGGAAGGAGCCTGTTGCTCCGGTTCCGTTTCGCAGTGACGTATCTCGCGGATCACCGGCGTTCCTCCCTCCGTTCTTCTCTCGTCACCCCCTGTGATCGCGACACGCGATAACGCTGCCGCGGATACCACCACGGATTAACAACAGCGGCGATCTTTTCTCTCGCCCGCCGATCTATTCTCTTCGGCCGGCCGATCTCTCTCGTCGCTCGTCCTGTCCCTCGTCTTATTCTCCTTCCCGTGACGTAGCGCGACGACGACAACGAACTCGCGATCGAGGATTATTTCATTGCGATCAGCGATCATTCGAACCGAATCCGGCGCGCATGCACCACAACAACAACAACAACAATAACAACAATGACGGCGGCGGCAGCGGCGACAACGACTCGCGACTCTCGGTGGAATCTTTCTTTTTTTCACTTGGCGGCCTTTCAACCCTTCACGATCACCCTCGCGTTTTCCGTCTCTCTCGTTCTCTCTCACACACCTCTCTTAGAAGGCGGACCAAGAGATCTCTCTCTCTCTCTCTCTCTCTCTCTCTCTCTCTCTCTCTCTCTCTCTCTATCTCTATCTCTCTCCCCGGTTTCTCTCCTTGCCTCGCGATCTTTTTCTTTCTTTCCTTTCTTCCGCACCGCGTCTCTCCCGCTTTCTTTCACTCCCTACACTCTGTCCATCCCTCGCGCGTCACTCTCCCCCTGCTCCCGGTTAAACTCCTGCTCGCGCGTTAAACACGGGCGAGAGGGAGACGAGACGACGGACACACGCACACGCACTCCACTTGCCCAGGCCTCGACGTTTGATCCGGCTCCGGATATGCGACGTTAAGTCGAGTTGCGTTGGGTCGCGCTGCGCTCCCGTAACTGCATCCGCGTCGGACGGCACGGCTTGCGCGCTGGGAGCGCCAGCGCCGCCATCCGACCACCCCACCATCATCTTCGCTATCCACCACCACCACTCGACACTACCACCACCACCACCACCATCACCACCACCACCATCACCACCACCACCATCGTCGCCACCACCGCCACCGGCACCGGCACTACTACCACCATCTTCCTCATCGCCGTCGGCATCACTACTATTACTACACTACTACTACTACTACTACTAGTACTACTACTACTACTACTACTACTACTACTACTACTTTTGACGATGCAACTAGGTGCACCACTACTAGCCACTACGCTACCAACACCACGACCTTCCTCTACGCTCGCTCCCCGTCACACTATCGCGACCGGTTACCATCACCATCATCCGGACGTCGTGGACGTCGTCAACGACGCCGACGACGACGACGACGATGAAAGCGGCACGACGCGATACACAAGTGTGTATCGCCATAGTGCATGCGTGCATAGTTTATGCGTGTGCGCGCACGTGCACTCAGACACGCGTCTCACCGGCCACGAAATTGTGTATATTGTCCCCCGTCATCGACGTCGTCGTAGGTATCGCCTTTGGTCCATTTGTACATTTTACGTGCGTGCGCGCCCGATTCTGTCTCTTTCCGCCTCCTCTCTACTTTGTCCCATTCCCTCTTCCTCTCTACCTGCGACGGATACACATACCGGGTACAGAGCATCGCAAAAGTTTCGACTTCCTTCCGCGGACGCGATGTTTCGGAAAAACGAAGGGAAGATAACACCGCTTCACTGGCTCTGGTTTTGCGCTCGTCTTAAAGCGTTCCTCACACGACGCGCAAGAAATAAGGATACTTGAATACAGTCAGGTGAGAATCTAAAGCAATTTGGGGGAAGGATATTTTTTGATTTTTAACTCTTATTAATCGATGCGTTGAAAAAATACAGTCTATTAATTATGAGTTTGATTTTAATGTGAATTTTTATTTTAAAGAGTCTTTATACCGTTGTTATTTAATTTTTATTTTCTCACTTTCGATGAAACCAGGGATGGTAAAGTTAGTTTATAAAAACAGCTCGTTACCATTCTTTACGTTAATCGTTACTGATTTGAAAAAGTAACGAGTCGGTACAATTTCCATTACGTTTTCATCGAATTTGGATAATCACTTTTCTAGAATGGCATTCCAATTTGTCTTGGTCATTAATTGGGCAGCTCAACACGAGATCTATAGTGATTGTAATGGTTAATCGCGGAATAATCAAGCAACTACACTTTCTTCTTTTAAAACTCGTTTATGTACGTGTACAAAGTAACGATAAAAATAACGATTATATTCGTTACGTTTACTTAAAAAAATAACTGTGTTATCATTATCATTAATGTTACAAATAAGGAAATGTAACGTTGTCACCTGTACTAAAAGAAAAAAAAAAAAAAAGAAGGTAATTTTAACGGTAATGTTACAAGTAATGCGTTCTTTCCCAACCCCGGATGAAACGGAAAGCAAAAGTAAACCGCGTGTATTCCTATTCCAGAAAAAAGTGCAGAAAAAAATTGCACATAAAATTAGTAACAGTAATTCGATTGGACTCGGCGAGATCGTCATTACGTTCCGAGATCGTCAGTACTTTCAGTCTCCTCGGCTTTTCAAGCGACTCCGCGACGATCGCGCGAGCAAAACGGTGCCACTTTCTTGGCGCAAGAACGATCATTTTTCCCTCCCCGCGTCATTCATACGTCCGCTCGAGTGCCGCGTGTCGGGTAGGAAAATGGAACGCGCATACTGACGAGGTTAAATCGCCCATTACGATTAACATTGATATTCGAGATACGAGGCGACGCCTTAACTGCGAGAGCGGCGGCAACTTGGCTCGTAAAGTACTCCGGAGTAACGCAAGCAGTCCGCTTCTGACGTGTGACTTATCATAGTTAATCGCGAGAGCGTTACGCGCGTTGCCTTCTCGGCGACGTCGAGATTTGGGCGCCGAGATTTGGCGAATTCAGAAGTTGCATTATTCACCTTAATTGGGGATGCCTCCTTCGTTACGCTTCAACGCCTTCCTCGCGTTGCTTCAATGAAAAGTACCGTTTACTATCACCTAAAGCTATATCTAAACGGTTTGCATAAACTGACAGACGCATCTGACGAATGCTTTCCTCTCAATCGCTACGCGCGCGTGCGTGTATGCGTGCGCGCGTGTGTACACTGTAAATCTAAGTGTGCAAAGAGTGATTTCAATAATGTGTGATTATATAATTTCCCGTGTAAAAATAACACACTATGCTGCATTCAAATATGAATGTATACATTCAAACGTGCGGTATAGTGTCATTGTCATTTTTACACGCGAAACCAAATTAGACACATATCATCGAAGTCACCTTTTTACACACTTGGGTTTGCAGTGTGCGCGCGTGAATTTGTAAAATTTCTATTCGCAATTTGTGCGGCTCAGGCTATTTCTTGAAACGAATGATCGTTCACGGAAACAAAAGAAATGCGTTAATTATAACCTGGCCGATTCGTGTGAATCTGCAAGCCCGAAATACGAGCCGGAGCGCTCCGGAAAGTTCAGCATTCCCGGCGGACGGATACGGCATTGCGCGATAATAGCCATGCATTCGCGCGATGTGGCGCTTATCAAACGGTCGTTCGCGAATTCTCTCGCGCTCGATCGCGGCGCCATTTGTCTTTGTTTCGCACTCGCACTCTGATTTAAAGGCTACGTGTTGCGTTAGCCGAAGACACATCAACTTCTATCTTTAGAGCGAACGCTCGGCTCATTTCGTAGAGCTCGGAGTCATGGATGCACGCACGCACGCACGCACACACACACACGCGCGCGCATTCGGCTCCCCGGAACCTGTTCCAGTCACATGGCCGCTTTGTCTTACGCTCGTAGATCGGTTTAATGCATTCTTACATGCGAGCCTCTATTGATTGTCCTCCGCCGCGCCGCGAGCGCTTGCCAACTCTTCCGACACGCGCTTGTGCCTACCAGAACTCGTTTTGAATAAAAGTATCTCCCTGCGAGAGAGACATTTTACATCTCACGTCTTTTTTCCAAATTCCGCGACGCAAAAGAAACGTAATATTGCAAATATGGCTTTTGAGAAATTGGTTCTTAAAATTCACCCTTTTGATTAAGACCAATTGAAAATTTTTTCCGCATAACTGATAATTAATACGCGACGAAATTATATATACATTTATATATTAAAAGATATTAATAAATGTAGTAAAGGCTTTTACTTTGCATTGTGCAAATTGAGAATGATAACACGTAAAATTGTTGTGACTCGTATTCTATGAAAAATTTAAATAACTTTAATATTTTCTTTCAATATTAATTGAAAATGAAATCATTTTCCACGAATAATGCTTTGATCGGGATAGATAATAATTCCACTCTTCGGTTAATATTTTATTTTCGGAATATTTTAATTCCAGACACAGCGAGGTCTTGAAAATTTTAAGTTGCGGCAGATCATGTCATCGAATCAATTTTCACTGACGAGAACTCATTTCTAAGTCATTTCCATTTTAGCTGAATTTGCAAACTCGAATTTTAATGCTGATCCCGCGAAACATTTTCCACGCAACTTTACATTCGTCACGGGAACGAAACAAGCATGTATTCAAATTAATAATCAATCTAATTCCTCACTGCGTATTACATATACGCATACGTATCTTTTATTTGAAAAAAAAAAAAAAAAAAAAAAAAAAAAAAAACATTTATTCGTCCGTTATAAATACTGAATCGAACTTTGTTACGACAAACCCGATGTAAATATTATAAACGCAAGTAACTATATTTTTCTTACAATTAAAACTGAAAAGCAATTAAGCGAGACTTCTAATTAGCATCCTGTGAAAAACTTCGCTTCACGGAGCTCCGCGAATTTGACCCTCGCGAAATGTTGCGTGCGACATTGCGTAACGAACGCCGACGTTATTCACGCGCATGGCATGCGCGCGGCCTCGTCATCGTGCACGGATTCATCGCTTTTTGAGGATCATCGCGTAAGACGGCCAACCGCGACGCAAAAAAAGAAACGGAAAGACACTTGCCCCGCGCGCGATGGCGTTGCTTCAATCAAAATTATCTTGATCGGTAACACGTACTGTCTACGAATTATACCGTCCAGTCACGGACGCAACACCGGCTGGCTCCGCAATTTGTATGTCGCCTACGATGTTTTCCGCGTCGCGCTCGTGAACTCTTGGAATTCGCGATCTACCAAGTGGCTCCATGAAAAATGCAGATTCGTGGACGTTTGTGATGAAGACAGGGAGAACGGAAAAGTCACTG